CTAAAACTTGCTGCCAAAGAGCATATAGAAATTTCTTTGTAGATAATTATGCTCTGGGCAGTGCTCTTTTTAGTCCCCCGCCCCCCATAGTCTCATGTATCTGACTGAAATGTGAAAATTATATATTTTTTTGAAAATTATAATGTTATATAAATTACGATTCTGGATATTTAATTGGCATGAATTTTAATTTATAACTGGAAGCAGGTTATTAATGACTTTGACAATTTCCAATGCTTTTTGAAATGATTTTAATAAAAAATCATCTTTTTAGCTTTCCATAGTAGACTCAAATGTACTAGATATAGTGTCTCTCTTCAAATGAGATGTTGACAAGAGCTATATGTTCCCTAGGTATAGAAACTGGTAGATCATTCCAGTCTATATCTATTTGGTAAGTTCCATTATGCTCTCTTTAGAGGCATTTTTGGCTCCTTGTCAAACATCCTTGTTCTGTTCCCATTATAAATCCAAATAAATTTAAGCTTCGTATCAGTGATGAAGTGGTTTTAATATAAAGTCCTCTTGAAGGCTTAACAGTTTATTTTCTTATGAATAGCATTTGAACTCATTGTGTTTGGAGTTCTTAGAGGGAATTACCTTTATTATTTAAAATAGCTATTTTGACCTTAATCTAATATTAATTCTATGTTATTTAAGTTTCATTGTGTCTCTTTTCCCGTGGTAGCATGATTTATGACAGGGTAGGATAAAGGACATAAAGATTTCCCAAGGACTTTTAAAATACCCACCTCTGGCCTTCTGTCTAGTTAATGCTTCATTACCAAATCATATTGTTTTCTTCTTATATTCATTTTCCTCCTAGTCTTCAAAATAATTTTAAATGGAAAATTAAAATAAAACCATCATACATACATACCTTAAATTTGCTTCAAAATTCTGGTATATTTACATTTATTTATCAAATTTTGATCATATTTTTATTCTACTAAAACTTATCTAAAAGACTTTCCACAGTATATTTCTAAAGTATATTTCTAAATTATATTTATTCATCCAGTAATCATTTATTGAGCACTGCTTTTACAAAACTGAAAAATATCAACACCTAAAACCACAAAGGGTTAATGATTTACTGGACGATGGAATTGGAAGGGGAGAAGTAAGGACTAATACAAATCAATAAGGGAAAAATAAAAGTATAAACAAAGCTCTGGGAATCAGAGGGGGTAGCAATTAATTAAAGTTCTTAGGACTTTTAAATCAATATATATATATATCAATATATGTATATTGAGTGCTCTATCCACTGAGCCAAACCAGCTAGGGCTCTTAGGACGTTTTGCCAGAGGACATAGTGTTTTATATGAGCCTTGAAGGATGAGAATATATTAATAGGTAGAAAAAAAGGAGGAGATGCAAAGGAAATGGAATAGCATGAGTGAGAAAAGTATAGGTTGATGGTTATGAAATTGATATAGCTACTACTTTTAATCATATGATCTAGTTACCCAATATGCTCAGTGCTAACTCTAGCTAGTGAAGTTACTCTTTTTGGTCACATGATTTTATTTACCCAGCACTGTCAATTTTAACTCCAAATCCATTGGAACTATCAGGTTAATTTCAAAGTGCCCCATAGTGGTAACATTGTATAAATATATAAACAAAATGTGTAAAAAGTGATCATCCATATAACTTTTCACCTTTTCAGTGGTAGAAATGATCTCAATGAAATCACATTTGACTGATCTATACATGTTGATAAATTTAAGGAGTGATTAATTTCCAACCATTTATCTAATAAAAATGTCGAGGATTTGCTTAATGAAAATATTAAAATTATAGAGAAGCAAAATTCTTGTCACAGTCATGTAAATAGGAGAAAATAGGGAGAACACCTGTAAGAAAAACTTCCACTGTAAGGGAAATGCTGTATGTGGCTATGCACACAAGTCTTGATGGAACATGGGAATAGAAGCCAGCTAACCTTCTTGAATGAAGCATTATTTCTGAGCAGCAGTTTGAAGGAGAACCTCATGGTTTGGCAGGACACACAAAATAATATCTCGGAGTTCATTTTCTGGGAAAGACATTTTTTTCATTATGTATATATTGTGGGTTTTGCTAGCCCATAGAAACATCTAGGTTTACGCTCTTTCCAAGGTTGAAAAGTATTTATGATTATCCTTTCTAAACCATTGCTCTTATTTCTTGCAAATCCTTATGCAATAGTCTTCTTTAACAGAATGAAATTTTTTGCTTTAGAAACAGAGAAAAGGAGAATTCTACATGAAAGAAAAAAACCTTTGGTTAATAGTTCTGAGTCTTCTTTGGTATAGAATAATATGAATATTAATTAAAATGCTTAAAAATAATTCTGACCTTAAAAGCTATAGTTGGGGTTGAAAAGTCAAGTAAAGTTTTTAAATCAAATTTTCTATTATGTTTTATAACTATCATGTTAGGCCAATGCTTTTTTTTATGGAGAGTTCTTTAAATGGTTAATAGATTTTATTTTTTCTATTTTTTCAGTATATTAACACTTATACTTCCTTTCTAAGTGCTTAGGCGTATCATTTTCTTATGTTTTCTGTACCTTCCTAGTTAGTGGAAACATTGTTTGTTCTTGGAGTGTGCTTTGTCTTCCTTTTCAAGAAGATCATCAAAGTTACTAGTTTGCAGCTTCCAAAAAGAAAGAGCCTTCTAATCCCTAGTTCAGAGGCTAACCTTTATTAGCACTCTCGTGGTTATAATGAGGACCCTGCTTCCAGCAGGGAGATTCTGGAATACTGAACAGATTATTCAACAAGTTCAGAGCAGATTCTGAAGTCCCTTATAGAACCTGCTTGTGAATACTGCTTTCTTTGCTTTACTGTTTCTGGTTTGCACAGTATTCCTAATTATATAAATCATGTGGAGCATGGGAGCTATTTCCCATCCAATATCAATTCTGACACAGCTTGCATTTTGATATGATTTGTGTGGTGTGTTTTTTTCTAAGCTGTATTCTTTTTTCTTAAATTCTTATGGAGGTTTCAAACTCTGAAAAAAAGCAGTTTTGTGTTAGAAGACCTATGAAATTTTTCTTTGGAATCCCCTGGTCTGACATAAAGAATTTGAAAGTCATTTTGACACAGGCATTGATGAATAAGGCTAAAAGGGTAGAGAATCTGATAAAATTTTCTCGGGTTTCAATTCAGGATTAAATCCAGGATGTAAATTACTCAAGTTTATTATCTATTTCTTAACTTGTTTAACTTAATTAACAGCTACTCATGTATGCCTTTCCATGCTCAAAACTGTGCTATGTTCAATGACTGTACCAATTAAAAGTATACAAATTAAAATCTAATAATACACAGTAATATATGAATGTGTAGCAGTTAACTAAAAGCACTGATAATTCTGAGGCTAGGTTTCTTTAGGAAAAATTGTAATCAAGATGGGTTTATATTATACATTTTTTTTGAAAGATTAAAGAGTTATGATCCTGAAAATAAGTTTCTCTTTTACTTTTTATTTCTTGTATAATATGTGTGATCTTATATATTTTTAAAAAGTTTGAGGTGTTCGTTTTGATAAAATTTATAGAGAAATTCAGTTCTAAGAGTATAAGGTGGTTTCAATATGTGGATTTTAGGAATTTCTTGTTAGGCTGGGTGAGTGAATTTCATGCTCATATCTGAAGATGTCTAAATAGTCAGTGGGACATAATTTCCTTTTAACTTTATTTATAGTAGTTTTAGAAAAATCTTTAAACTCTATTTCCAATGTTCTTCTTAGTGTTGAATGTATCAGAAAGAATTTAAATTGTACCTTGGTAGAGAGTTGCAGAACTTAGTGCCATCAAATACAGAACTTTTTTACTAAGAGCAAAATTCAGCAGAATACCAGTAGCAAAGGCCATTTGCATAACTCAGTTGCTCAGCAGCTCAGCTGAACCTAATTGTAATTCAATTTCCAGATTGCTAGCTCAGCCTCTCTGCATAAAATATGCAACATATAACATAACCAATGGCATGGACCTGTCTTCTTTGCTGATGATCCATTCAAATTCTTTTTGAGTAAAAACATGTATCAGGATAAGGAAACCAAGCTATATAGTTATTTTATATGTTTATGTTGTGTTACATGTATACACCAGTAAAGTTCAAGTAAAATAAAAAATATATATGTATTTCTCTAGGTTCCCAAGTGTGCCTAAAATATTTTTTTTATTTCTTTATTTGTGTTTTCTAGAGGGAGATTAAATCCTGAAAAATGTTATCTAGCTGCCATGTTATTTGACTATTTCACACTAGAAAGACTTCATAAGCTAATCGTGTGAAAAAGTGTATAAACATGTCTGTTATGTCCTTATGGATGTTGCAATACAGACCCACAAGTAAATATCTTCTGTTTACAAAGCGCATACTGGAATAGCTTTCCCAAATCTTTCACCAGCGTATAGCTCCCAAACTTAAAAACAAAAAGGTATGATAAACTGCTTGCTTAAGAGCCTCCCTTTAACTTTTAAACAGCCTTGCCACCCTGTTTTATGGGTTATTTAAGCAATAGCAATGGAGAGTTGAGTAGGGTGGCTGATAAAGGTATATTTTATGAATAATTTCCAGATGTGATGTTTTAGGGATATAGACTCCTCTACAGGAAGCTATACAGAGAAACAACATGGGTCTTACCATTTTATCAGGACAATGCAAGTAGATTTCAGCAAGGTTGGTTCCAACTCATCTGTGATAAATGAGAAGATAAGGCAATCAGTGCACACCATGACACTCTGTGCAGCTAGTTAGGCACACTTCAGAACTATTCAGGTGTGCTCACACGCTCATGAGTCTTGCATGGGGGGTGTCTCAATATAAGTACATCCTTCATGGTGGCCACTAGTTATGCAGGAATTGCCTCTCTAAGACTTAACCTAGGTCAGATATAAATAATAGATGTTAAGAGTTAGCTCTGCTATTGGGGCTCTGTGTTCCAGGCAGTGTATTTCCGTCTAGTCAAAAGAATTTATTTTCCCTTATTTTCTTGCATAGTTCCTCTGCTTGAAAAATGCTTGCAAAATTCCATCACACCTTTGCGGGGACCAGTTTGGGTCTCTAAGGGAGAAGGTTTCAGCCCCTCAGGAGCTAAGATATACATCCAAGGAGTTCTTTTGGCCTTGTACCAACGCTTAAAGTCTGCAAAAAAATACTATAAACAGGTGAGTCATCCCTCTTTAAAAACTGCTTAATTTTGTGTTTTAAAATGTACCTGATTGTATAGGAGCAATGATTGGCATCGTGTCATAAAAGAACTGTGACATGTATTTTGTGAGCTCAGTGCCTGTTTGAGAGCCAAAATGCTTCTTCTGTAATCCTGAAGCCAGCAATAATGGGACTAATTGTATCTGTCTTTTGCTATGGGATGTCATATGTCTCATCTTTTCTTGCTACATACTGTGCAAAGCAAAGGCAACTTCTTATGTGGAAATTCTACGGGCAGTTACTTTAAATAAGAAAATGAATAGCTCATAAATTATTTGAAGGTTTAAATGTTCAGCCTTTTTTTTTTTCTTTTTCTTTTTTGCCCGGTATGCAATCAAAATTGCTGTTGTAGAAGTTGGGCTAAAATGTAACTAATTGTATTCTGGGAAATAAAATGGTAAATTAACTTCATGTCAAGAGTAACTTACTCATTTATGCTTATTTAATTTGTATGTTTCTGAACCTGAAAGTATAGAAATAGAATTAATGTATTTGAATTAGGTTAAAGTAAAGTTTCTCCTCTAATTTCTAAATACCCATTCCATAATTGTGAGTGTGTGTGAAGACTTTGATATTTTTATAACTACCTACAGGGACTCTGACTTATTTCAAAGTAGAATTCACGTCGCAAAACAGAATGATTGATGACATTTAAAAAATAAAAATGGAGTTGCCATATTTTTAGAATCCTTTTTGCATTTAATCTTAAGTCAAGTATACATTTTACCACGTTAAATAAGAGCTAGGTTTTGCATTTCTAACTGGGAGGTTTCAGTTTAGAACTGGGCTCATTATCTCAGGTCATAAGCTGCTGAAAAATGAATATTTTGAAAGCATCATGCTATTATTCTCTGTGTACTGGGGGAGGGGAGGTGGGAATAAGATCCAGTCTCAGTGTTCACACAGCACCTCCTGCTGTCTGGTTGGGAAAAGAACAACTTGTATTGACGAGGAAATTCTTGAACTAAGGTATCCAGAACTAGCAAGAAACAGCTTCCCGTAAGAAACTTTTATCCTCAAAATTCAATTGGTTTGCCTGGCTAATAAATTTCAGTGAATCCATAAATGAGATGAATAATTATGATGGATAAGGCTATTTATTATAATAAATAGGAAAATGTAAAAATCCAATCTTATTTTTAATACTTTGTTAAGCTGATATATATAAAAACTGTAAAATATATTTGATTGTATTTAGATTAAATTACTTTAGCTAAAGTATTATTTAACCTTTAAGATACAATATTATAAAATGGACTTAACCAGTTTAATTACAGTCATTTATTTGGTATTAAATGGTTTTATTCAACTAATTAGTTTAAAATTATTTAATGTTAAAGAAAACATGAGACCATCCTCCAGTGCAAGGAAAGCACTGTTTATATCAAACCTAAAAAGAACTTAAACATTTTCTAAATTTTATTAAAAGTCAGAGTGTCATATATTAAAAAAAACAACAGCTCAGGAAGTAGATATGGCATGCTTTTTTCTTCCACTGTCCTTAATATTTAAAATTTAAATAGACATAAACATTTGTATGAGATTGAAAAATTTTCTGTGTACTGTAAGAAAAGAAAATCCTTTAAGACTTGCTGTTTTGAATGTAAAGATTTCGTTACTACTCAAAATTGATGAAAATACATTTATTAAAATAAATATTACACATACATATGAACAAAATTAACATTTTAGCACCTTGGAAATTGTCTATATTATCAACATTATTTAGAAATTTAGGAATATTTAAAACCTTAGGTTCTTTGCCATTCATAAATATACCTTTTTTTTCCTTTCACTAAGTTGTTGTAACTTAAAGCTTTTCACTCAATAGCTTTAGTATGATATTTGTTTAAATTGTATTTTTAAATATAAAAATGGAGGAAAAGAAATAGATATTTGCATAGCATGTATTTCATGCACATTTCTATTTCTTTTAGATATTCTCAATTATATGTATTTTTGAAGCTCTTTTCTTTTGTATTGTTATATTATGACTTAATTTAAAATTTTGCAGTTTAGAAAGATTACTGTAGTAGGACCATTATCAGGTCATCGAGTGGTGAAGTGTTAAACCAGGCCACAGTTTTGTCAGTAGGACTTAGCAAATATTCCTCTCAGCATTAATGAACTTTATTTGAACTGCATTTACTTCATTTGACCTTAGGGACAGCCTTTTCTATTTAGCTTTAGAGAAGATCGTGTTAAGAAATCCCTAGATAGAGAAAATGGAGATGGATGATGCTTCCAATTCCCTTAATGAATCTAAGCTTATAAATTTGAGGGTTTATAAACGCTTAATATAATTTCCATTTATTCCACTCTTGAGATCATATATAAAAACAACAATATTGTTTTGCTAGGATTCTCTTAAAAGGTAGGAGACTTTAAATTGCTGTTTTAGAATCAGGAAATTTCTGCTAAGTAAACTCTTATAATATAGCTTTAAAAGAAAAGTCAGAACTACTATATTTATGTATATGAACTTAGTCATTTTTTTAATATTTATCTTTAACTTGGCTATTATAGCATGCAACCGATTTAAGCCCATTTGTGTGGTCTTAAATATATACGGATTCATGTATATAAAATGCGATATATTTACGACAGCATAAAGTCACTTACTCTCACATTTTCACATTTATTTTCTTAAAAGTGGAAACATCTTAGAAATTGCTCAGAGCTAAGCAGAATCTATTTAATTTGTAATTTTTGAAGTAGCATAAATGAGTTCATATAAAATGCAGTTAACACTTTCGGAGACAGGGCCTGCTCCATCTCATTAGCATTCTTGTTATGTAGTGGTGCTGTTGGTGGGGGCGTTGAAGTAGGAATGCCATTGTGTCGAGTTCCAGTGTTTGGGGACAAACACTGCTGTGGAAGGAACGTGTGAAAAGGCCACAGTCCTGTCAGTGAATGAGGAAGGCTGTGCTTTCTGTGTGCTTCAAGCAGGGAAGCTGTCATTCATGGGCCTAACACAGCTAACCAGAGGCCAAAACACAAGGCTGCACTACCTTTTAAAATGATATTAGTGATTTTTAAACATGATCTTCTTTATTTATGATCCTACATAGAGCTTTTAGTTGCTGTCAGTAAACAAAATATGTGTCAGTCTGTTCAGAAACACTGTAGAGATGCATAAAAGTCCATGGAACTGTGCCAGGAGGCTCTATAAATAATGATTCGGAATGGCTGATCTTTAGTTCAGACGTGATTTTGGGGAAACATTCATTTCTGGGAATGTCTACCCAATTTTGATACTGCTTTGATTCTTTTTTTTTTTTTTGCTCCCGCAACCAACAAAATTCTTGGAGACTTTTGTGTAATGAATGCATAGCACTCTTCTGTTAAAATACCAGTTTTTACAAGAGCTCATAAACATACAATTCTAATCATTTAAAGTGTTTACAGAATAGCCTAACAGTTGTTATAGATTGCATAATTTCTGAAATTCACAGAAACAAAGGATAGCTAATTATAATATCATAACAACCACAATCTTAATTATGAAAACACCACACACACACACACACACACACACACACTCTCACACACACACGAAAACCATAGTCTCTTTGGTAGCTAAGACATGAAAAAAAACTTGAAGAAATTTTTAATCCTACTCCTGATTTTTAGCTCTTTGGAAAGAAATAACCAACTTTAAAATTAAATTTTAGCTTGTTTGATTATGTAAACAGTAAGACACCCTCAAATATTTCTTACAATCTTAGGGCATTTTCTAAACTTTAGTATTGTATAGAAAAAAATCCTGATAACTTCTATTTATATCTAAAGCTTCAGTTTTATTTTTATAATTTTAATTTAGAAATGTGAACCTGGGTTATTTGTAACAGATCATTACTTAATGAAGTTTGTTAAAAAGTATAATTTTCTGCCTAACAGATTTAAATTTTTGAGATATATGGTCCTTTTTAAAATTAATTTAAGTAAAGTAGTTTTTTAAATGCTATAATGCACTATTTCTAAATTCTCCTTATTTGGTGCTTTGAGTTTAAAAATCTCAGGCAATAAATCTATTTTAAAATTAGGTTTCACTTTTAAAACTGTAACTGTAGTGTAATTTTATAATTAGATGAAGAAATGACCATCCAACTTCAGCACATATTGACTTTGCAGTTTAAAACTGAAATGTACTGTATTACTTACTTGAAAATTAAAATACTAAGATTCCTTAAAAAAACATTTTGCAATAAACAAATCCTGTTAGCACTAAATGTAATTCAAGCATATTCTGCATAGTAATTCTATTATGAATAGAATTATATTTTATTATTGATTTGATATCTAAGTATCAAATTTACTGAAAGTGTAGTTAAAAGTGACAACTCTACCACATCTCAGAATTACTATTTTTTGTGGTGAGAACATTTGAGACACACTCTCAGCAACCTTCAAGTAAGTCATACAGTACTTTGCTCTGCACTCGATCCCCATCTGTATGTACATTAAAATTTGGGCTTTTTTCTTGATTTACCCTTCCTGTCTCAATACCCCAAATATTTCAATTTTGAACTTCTTGATGTTCTTTGAAATCTTTGGACAAGATCGATAATATATAAATATTACTTACTATGAAAAACATTAAAGTTGTGTTGCAAATGTTTCAAAATGAAAACTGCTTCTGCAGGTTCTGAGAGGTGATTTTTTAGAATATTAGTTTCTTTTATAGATCGAAGTGGTGCATTTTCCTCTGAAACCAAGCTGCATTCTAGTTACTTGAAGTATTTTAAGAACCTTAAACTTGTGTCTTTTTCTAAGTGTCATGCTTTGAGCAGGCCTAACATCAGTTAAATGAAGTGAAAATTGCATTCTTGTCTTGATAGAGATGAAAATGGATTTCTGGTCATGAAATAGATGTAGTTGTCACTTTTTAAAAAAGGTGTCAGCAGTTTGCTTCAGCGAGTAAGGTGCCAATTCAGTATGGCAGTAAACTTGTGAT